TTCCTGCTTAGTGGAAGTGGAGGATGGATGAAGTTGAAGAACACGGTCCCTAGCCTGGGACACTGGATCAAATGAGGTTCCCTGCCAGCATTTGTCATGGCAGGTGTTGAACACTGTAATAAAACTAAGCAGATTGCCTGGATTCTCCTTTCACAGCAGAGTGACTGCACTTCAAACTCTTCTTCACCATAACTCCTTTGCTATGTAAGGGAGTGTGGTTGCACAATACAGCACAATGAGTGACCCATCGTTTTCCTTGTTCAACTGAAAGTCCCTTTTGCAGGAGAGATGACTGTAAGGTGAAGAAGCTGTACTGCATAGTTTTTGTGTTATTTGTGTTAATGAAAAAAATGTTCTGCAAGTGAAGCATTGCTTTAACTCTGTTCCTTTTGTTTTTTTAAAATAATACTGAGAGTGCCTGGAACACATGATGTCTTTTATATCTCATTATAAATGACTATAAAAATAAACAACAACCAAGCTGTTGCAGTTTCACAATACAAGCAGACTTAGAAGTCATGAAAGTGAAGCTACCTCTATAATTCTGTAGAGAGAGAGGAAAAGTAAACTGGAAGGATGAAAACATTCTGATTACTCAGTCCATGATGCTTTTGTGGATCACTTAAGCTCCACTCCCATTTGTGCAGCTGGCTTTTGGTTTCAGCTTGGACAATTAGTTCTACTGGTAGAAAATGCTGTAATGCATCATCACAACCTCAGTAAAATCAGTGGAGTTGTAACAAGTTAGCAGCTAAGAATTTGTCATTTAGCTGTCTTCTCCATCCGTTATTAGCAAACAGTGGAACAAGCATGCTGCAGTATCTTCCACTGATCTTTTAAAAATAAATCCTTACATTGGGAATATTAGAACAAGCACATTAAGACATCAGAGAGCCTAACTACAGAAACAGATTTGTTTTAGCACATGGGTCATGTCCTGCCTCCATGGGGTGGATGGGGAGGGTACATTGCCCCTTTTTGGTTTCAGGATCAACACTGACCATTCAAATAAAGTCCTCGTCTATATCAACAGAAAGTTTGTCCTTGTATTCAATAGGAGGACAACACACCATTAGTTTTGAATACTCTATAAATATTACTTAGTTATTTGGGGCAGAATTATTGTTTAATGGTGAAACATGGAAGTTCCAGTGCACAAACATGGAAGAGTTAAATAGCACAGATCAGCCTTAGGGAACAAGATATCCCTTGAGCCACTGGATCCATTTACACTACAGATGCTATAAAGGTACTTCATAATGTTTAATCTTTTTACACCTAGAGATCAATTTCATGTTGCTAGGTACTTTTGAGTGAAATTATTACATTTTCATGTGAGGAAATGCCATGACACGAATAGGTACATTAAACAAAATGTTACACTTCAATACATATATCATCCTGAAATGATTTTTTATGTTAAAATAAGTATAATTACTACCAGGGGGGTATTTTTAAAAGGTCATTTAGTATTGTTGAAATTTTTCCACAGACCTAATGACAGTATCAGTCTGTGAGAAACCAAGAAAGGGATGCAACTGAACATCTGCTAAAAATATTGCATTTTAATATTTTTTTTCCTATCTGTTATCACGTGTTATAAAGTTGAAGCTAACACATGTCTAGTATGATGATTTTGTAGACGTTAAATATACTGCACATTCAGAGTGTAAAAAAACACAAATGTGAGAACCATTATGAGATAAAAGTTAGTAATTTGTTTACAATTCCAGAAGTTATTCTTCAATTCCATAACCAATGCATTACATAGTAACACAGCAAATGTTATTCATTCTCACCCTACACAGTTTTGAGGGTGATTTATTTCAATAGTTCAGTAACTATAAAAGTGCTGTGTTAAAGATTTCACATTTTATCAGCACGCTGAACAATTTTATCAGGTAATGATGTGAATCTACATCCATCAAAGATCCTATTCCACAATGAAAAGGTAATGTTTCAGAAAACGGAGGTGTCTCCTTGGCTGTGTGATTCTGACAGAAAGCAGGTACACAGCAAATTGGATTGGTTTGGGTTCACATGTACAAGCATACTGGCAAGAGCAAGTATTTTTTGAGTAAGGGCTTCAGTGAGTGAATAGCTTTTGTATACTATAGCCCACACAAGACATTTTGTTCAAAAGTTGAAAAGTTGACAGCAAACGATCTCATGAATAACTGACCTGAAATAACCTATTTCTATGAAATGTGAAAAAAAAATCTCACTTTGCAAAGAAATAAAAATCCTATTTAAATTAATATGAAGCCCTCTGAGAGTAGGTGAAATGATACGACCCATACAGTAAAGAGCAGACAGGAATCTCAGCAAACAAATGGGAATTTAAAAATATATATTCATTATATATATTTAAAATATCCACATTTGATGTTGAAATCTATGCCTTTTTTTTTAAAGGTGTTGAGCAGACTTTATCCTAAAGCTTATACTGTAGTAACAGTGTTTTGCTTTTATCTGTGAAAGAGATTTTTCAAACACAGATACTGTTACAGAACAAAACTCTAATTGCATCGTAAATCAGAACAGCCAAGTGTGTTAAAAACCCAAACTAAGATCCACTTAATCTATGAAGTTTTGTAACAGTGAACAGCTTTCCAAGGCAACTGACAGACAGGCGTTATGATCACTGTTTTCATTCTTTCTAAAAAATATCCACTCACAGATACGTGACAATTCATTGCAAAATAAAAATCCTATGCTAGCATCTACTTCTGTTTTACAATAACCGAGTAAAAACAGCAGAAGCAAACCAAGATTTTTAGTCTGGATGTTATTTTCACTTTTCAAGCCTTTTCATTTCACAGCTTTTATACCTGATGCTCTCTATTTCAGCAGATCAGACACCACACCTACAAACAACACAAACTGCAAGTGACCACTTTACCTTCTGAAAAATCAATCAGTCCCAGCAAATGAAGCAGCTTCAGAGATGCAAATATAATCACAACAATACCCACTGTTTGCAGTCCCTCTGACTCCCACTCAAGAGTCAACATTCTTCCAACAGGCAAATCATTCCAGTCTTCACACCAGTTCACAATCAGAGGGAAATTAGAGGATTTTACCAAGAGTTTGCTTTGAAGAAAGTTGCAGTGATGTAAAGCAACACCTCACTGAGCTGTGGTGATTCACCAGCCACTCTAGCCAAGACAAAATATTAGATAAAGCCCTGCATCTCATGTTTCTCTAAGCATTTGATTCCATCAGTAGCAAGTCCTCTTAGAAAGCTGAGGTGGACCACGAACCCCTGGGTATGACATTGTATCCAGCAAGCAGCGTTACTTCAGAGCTCCTGGAGGAACATCTGTGTCAGAGCTGGAGACTTGGCTGTGTCAGTGCCAAGAAGAAATGCTCCCTGGAAACTTGCACTAGGGAGCACACTGCTCCCAGCACTCTGCACTCCAGCAGTCCCAGACCCAGCCGTTGCAATTCTTCTGCAGCTTTGCAGCCCTTCTCCAGCTTCTCTGAGCACCATTTTTATTAAGTTTCACAAATGACAGTTTGCTAAAGACAGACATCTGTTTTCACATGTGCTAAATACAGCACATCAGAAAACTACTGCCCTCTGCGTTAGAAAATACTATGTTCAGAGAAATGCTTTCCCTTCCTCTTAAGCATCACCAGAATCTAATTAGAATCTTCAGTGGAAATGAGAATGGAAATTAAAGAAATACATATCAGCACAATTGGTGCCTCCAGCTAGCAAAACAGCGCTGTCAGTGAGACATGCACTGCCCAAACCCCTGTTCTGTAGTCAGGAAGAACGTATTATTTATTGCTTGAGAAACAAAATAGAGATTTTCTAAGGACATGAAGATGTGCTGAACCCCAAAATCTGATACATATGTATGGGGATCAGGCATTTTCCACAGCTCCTGGGAAAAACTCACCCAAGCTATGGAGCAGGAGAAAAAGAAAAGAGGCTTATGATCCCAACGGATTTATTGCAGTCTGTAAAAACTAATTGTCCTGTGTTTATTACACATATGATCTAACACCAAAAACAATCTCATAAATGATGTCTGACATTGACCACTCATCTTAGGTTGCTTAACTCTTTCCATTAAAATCAATTTTTACTAAATTTTGAGAAGCTCAGAAACTTACATTTTGTCTCAGAAAGCCACTACAAATTTAAATCAGGACAACATAAAATTTAACTATTGTTTGTGGACTACCAGGTAGAAAAAGAAAAATATAATCTCCAATGTGCTATCAGCTTTTTTGTTTTTCTGCAAAGGGTGTCTGTATTGAATTACGAGAACTAATTGAAGTCCCAGATTTTTCCACATAGGCAGGACTCTAGAATCTGCATAATTCTGTTAATTTGAAAATTCACGTGTGCTTCATTTAATTTTATATCTAGGCAATATATAAGCAACCATATTATTTGATTCTGCTCTTCTGGGTATTTAATACTAGAATGCCATGAGTTCTGTATTATTTATATAAGCTCCCAATCTGAATGTTAGTTCCTTTCCCTATTAACCTGTAGATCTAAAACAGTGTCTAAGAGGAAAATACAATAAACATAAATAAAACCAAATATATAATCCTACATTTGCACTTCCAATATGTCATTACCTTTGCTTCATATTGAAAATAATTACTAAATATAGTTTCATTTTAAGTTCTATTTCTTTTAGAATAAAATTAACATTTTGTTTTCTCTGTTCAATTTCTAATTATTTTATATCATGTTGTCCTTTTAAGCCTCTGACATGTAAATATGAAGTCATTCTCATCTCTGACTTCTATTTTTACCTTGAGTTTATTCCTATTTAATCTTTTTCTTTCTCAATTTTTTCTTATTTTTCTGCAATGATGAAGCATAGACAAATGTTCATGATAATCCAAGGCTTAATGTGATCTCAGGATGGGAACTTTGACCTATATTGTTTTATGGGCATTATAAAAACAATAATCCAAATATAATTCAAACAATCACTATAACAGTGGAAGTGGGCGACTTGTTCCAGTGTGTCACCACCCTCACAGGAAATAATTTTTTCCTAATATCTAATCTAAATCCTCCCTCTCAGTTTGAGACTGTTGCCCTCAACCTGTCACTACAAGACCTTGTAAAAAGGGCTTTCCTATAGGTCACCTTCAGGTATTGGAAGGAAAAGAAATAAAAAAAAAATAACCTGAGATTATCTGCTAAAATTCATGTAACTGCTTACTGATTTCAAAGATTACCTTGTTAAAAAAAGAAGTAGACTTTTCCTCTTGTTTCTCATTATAGTTCTCTACATTAGGGGAACCACACAAAGACTTTGTGAATCTCTGAGTCTGAGCTCTGCAAAATAAACCAGTTAGGATAAGAAGCTATGTGGAAAGAAAAAGGAAATGATGTATTAAATCTTTCCTTTAATGCACCATGCAACAGATTCAAACAACAGTGTCACTTCAATATATTAATTCTTCTGGAAGTGGTTCAATTAAAAAATTAAATAAATCTTGAACCAAAGATTCTAAAATTCTATTAAATATAGGGCACCTCTTTGTATTCTGATCCCTTCTCATATGCATAGTCAAGTGTAATTTCTCTCTCCCAATTTGCTATTTGTTAAATTATTTAAAAAGAAATATTTTTGTGACAAATCCTTATGGAATGCCTATATTGACACTACAAGAAAATTTTAAAAGCTGCTCAAAAAAAGAAATTTTTCAACAATACTACCCCCATGATTCAAAAGAAGACTCCATCCTTTACATGAAGCACTGAAACAAGGGGCCCACATCTTGTAATATCAAAGCATTACTCTAGCTCATTGTCTTTCCCTAACTCCTGCTTCCATTTTCAACACTGTAATGGGTTCTGGGGGTGATTTAATATAAGTTTGCATAAATGTTTTTGTGATTCTTCAGTAGGTAGCATAGGAAAAAGAAAAAGTGCTAGCATTGTTAGGAAGCTATCCCATCTAAATGGTGCATCTTCCACTCGCTGTCAACTCCTCTAGAAAGATTTGAAGCAGAGCCTTTTTTGTTTGCACTATCACCCTGTGGGTCTACCAAACCATTAGTTACAGGAAAGCATAACCATGTCAGTGCTAAACTCTGACACAGGTAACTCCTGAATTAGCAAGAAACTTGCAGATGAGAATACAACATCAGGCTGATTTGCCCCTCCAGAAAGCAAGGGAAGTATATGCTGCAGTGTAAGGCTGTGGCAGGGATGGATGGATGGCAAGGCACTGTGTTCCCCAAAGCATGGAGTGAAGGAGTTTATGGCCATGGACCTGCTCCTTTTAATTCCTTCCCCCAGTGCTTAGCAATGTAAACACAAACCAAAGCTTTTATCTCCTAAGTAAAAAGACAAGAGAAACCCATGTTAAAGTGCTGTAGGAGATCTCTCTTGCCTCAAGAAGCACAGATCTTAACTGAGTTCTGAACTGGACAAAGTAGAACTGACAAAATTATTAGGGTCATTGTGGCATCCTTACATTTTTCTACAAACAATCAAGTAATTGATGACTACTCTAACCATGGTAAATACAATGATTTACAGGTGGAATGCAATTAATAAATTAAAAAAGACACCTTAAATATGACAGTGTATGATGTACTAAGTAAATTTTAGATTTGATTGCTGTATGTTTGTAGAATAGTTACAATTTTCTAATATTTCTTGGAAGAAGGAAAAAATACTCAGAAATATAATTTATAAAGCTTGGATATGAAAAATTGAATTTTAATAACTTCAAAGTTGCATAGAAGCAGAGAAGATCTGCCATTTCAAAGCAAACAATATTCCACCTAATTTAACACATCCCAAGAAGCAGCAAATGCTTGAGAGTAACTCATAGGATGCTATGTATTGAACAATTAAGGACAATTAGCTAAATACTAATTCTGTGATTAGTGCATTAGGGTATAATATTTCCCTAGTATTTTAAAATATTACACAGGTCTTTCAAAATGATTTGGTATTATCATACTTCTTTATGTACAGTAAACTAATTAGTAAACTAAGTCTAGTAAACTTGGTTTTATAACTATAACCTGTCACTGTAATTAGCACAGTAATGTGAAGTATGTCTTTTTTTAAATTGCTTTAGTTTTTATGAAGAATTTTTATTTTACATATTATTTTATTTTTATTTTAAAGCATGCAATATTTTTCACTATAATTTAAAAGCTCTTCTTATTTTCAATTTTTTTCTGAGTTTTGTACATGAGAGTAGAGGAATATGAAAGCCCATCTGATCCCAAATACATTGAAGTGCCTTTTCACTATATTTTGGTTTTAACATCTATTTGTAAACAGTATCAGTCAGAATAGGGCTGATCAAAATCGAACAGTTTTCAAGGCAAAAGTGTATTATTACACATTAATTTACTTGAGTTATACTGCTTTCCTAAGTGACAAAATCTGCCCAGTGTTGTAAGTCATTTACGGGGGGGAGAGGGAAGTTTTAATTGGGTAGCAGTAATAGCTCATTAGATTCTATTTGATATTTTTCCCAATGCAGCTGAAAAGGCAAACGGCTGATGAGTTAGAAACAAAAATTGGAAGTATTAATTGACTTGCCCTTCTTTCTGTGTCTCATTCTGCAGAGGGAAACATCAGTCAGTCAGAAGAGAAAGAAATTATCAAACACAGAAAGGGCACCTGTGAACAGGTCAGATGAACTTGTAATCTTCAACTTCTTGTTCATGCCATATCTGAGCTTGTTAGGAAAACTATCTGGCAGATAACGATCTGAATCCTCCTGTTAGTTAGCCAGTAAGAAATCTGATCACAGGCAATAATTTACAGTTTTCTTCACAGAAAGTTTCTTAGATCTGCAGAGGAAAATCATGCCCATTTGAAAGTATTTTGAGAGCCAGGAGAAGCAATTATTTTTTGCATGTCCTCTCAAGAATTATTCTCAAGGTAAAATAATTCAAATTTTTTGAATGAGACTCCTCCTGCATAGATTGCTACAGCCAACCACAGAACAACATGAAATTTTCATAAAATGCTTCAAAAAAATGAGACTAATGTATGGAA